TGCCACTGGAGGAGCCGGTGCCATCCCCCCGGAGAGGAGAGCGCAGTGTAACGTGATAAAGACAGCTGGCCCGGGAATCTGCAGCTCGGGTTGGCTGGGGGCTGGGGCAGGGGAGCGACACTTGGCTGTGAACAGAGAGTGAGGGAGCTGTGAACAGAGTGAGGGAGCTGTGCAGCGCGGGGGGTGCTCGCTGCCCTGGGCCAGCCAGATGCTGCTGCCTTGGCAGGGAGAGAAAAGCGCCGCACACACCAAGCGCGGCTGCCTCGCTCCTCTGCCTGCTGCTGGGATCACAGCTCCCAGCCGGGCTGTGGCTCACAGGGAGGATGCTGGAGCCAGGTGGGCAGCATGCTCGGGCAGAGTTGGTGCCGGGAAGCCGAGGAGACCAGATTCCTGGCTGGAGGCTCCTGGGTCAAGGCCTTTCCTAATTAGTATCGCTCTCTTCCCCATCCCTGGACCAGCACAGGGTAAGTGAGCACGGCTCAGGGATATCCCCAGGGATGTGGCTCCTCCAGGTCACTGTGCAGCTTGGAGACAGCTGCAGGGAGCTGCCAGCAGGCTTGGCAGAGGGCTGCAGGACGAGGAGGCAGCTGTGGCCCTGTCTCAGGGGGGTTAGCTGGCTCCTCTTTATAGCTGCTACCCCACCACGCTGCTGCAGGCAGACCCCCGAGGAATGCAAAGCCTCCCCCCCATCCTGGTCCCTGCTGCTGTATTTATTTAGCAGGAAGGTTTCCATGCATGGCCAGTCCCCAGCGCTTACTGCCTGCCCTGCTGACCACGGATGGGAGAGCTCTTGTGCACAAAATACCCAGAGAAAACTACCTCTAATTAGAGGGTAGAGTTAAAAATATCCATAAGTCCATAAACAGAGGGAGGCAGACAGGGAAAAGGCACATGCCAGTGTGACTGACGCCCCGGGAGGGAGACGAGATTAGGAGCAACTCAGCCTCACACATACAAATGATTCAAAATAGATGAGCATATGCCTGAGCAATGAACCAGGGGGAAATGATGGGGCTGGTGTAGGAGTGGGGTCATGGTCTGTGACACCACGGAATCAACAGCTTGTCTAGACTCCAGCAGACAAAAAAAGAGATGCTGTCTTCAGCTAGGAGTGAGAGGCACTGTGGCACCAGGCCATCCATAAAAAGCTGCCCGAGCAGCAGAAGTGGTGTGAAAGAGGGATGGACACAGGCCAGATACCTGCATCTCTTTGCAGAGCTGCTGAGAATGAGCTGGGTAAGTGGCATATCTGCAAAGGGCCTTGAGATCCTGAGATCAGGAGTGATATGTATCAGTACATACCTGCAGAGCCTAAAGTTACTCTAAAAACTCTCCAAGACAGACAAAACTTTGCTTCCAAACAGGAGAGGTCCTGTTCCCACAAAGGGGAACCAGCCTCTTTCAGCCAGGGGTGGGATACAGCTCCTGATCACCCCAGAGCAGCTCTGAGGAGACTTTCCCTCTCTGATGGCTGTCACCAATTACCTGCATCACCCATGACCTTCCCTCTGTCACACACAAAGCTGGCTCCAGTGACACTTCAGATCCTCTAACAAAACCATGTCTGCTGGCATTTGCCCCCTGAGAAAACACAGTGACCCAGAACCCCCGTCTTTTGTGTAAAGAAGTTTTTTCTTTAAGAGCAGGCTCCCTTCAGTGCTGCTGCCCTCCCACCAGGGCAGCACAACCACCTCCCACCTCTGAGAGCAGCCAAACCCTTGCTCTGGTGGAGCTTTCTGCCAGGACCTCCTTCTTCCCAGGCCAGCAGACCGGCCTGCCACAATCACAGCATCAAAGTTAAGGAGGTCTGGAGCGAACCTGATGGCTGGGGAAGGTCCAGATGGACAGCCCTGAGGACTCAGACAGGCTGCTCCTCCACACGCAAGGTATGGCACAGCTCTCTGGCAGAGTCCTCGGAGCCCCGATGCCTCAGATAATCACATTCCTGTCTGCCATGTGGATTGCTATTGAAAACTCATCGTGACAGGCACAGCCTGTTATTACAGGTTTGAGCAGCTTCTTCCCAGCAGGGTTTGAACCTCACTTCAGGCCTCCAGGCACTACAAGCATCACAAGGATGCATTTTCTTTGAATCGCCTTCAGCTGCTTCCAGATCCCAAATACTTGGTGTGCAACACGCTCCACAGAACCTTTAGAAATCCCTAAGGTGTTTTTTTCCCAATTTAGTCCTTGGTCACCTTTCCTTTTTTCTTACAAGTGCCAGGAGCAAGTTCCCACTGCCTTATCCTGCACCTCTCCACTGTCCGTGCCTGGGCCAGGTCACACAGCACTTTGTTCTCCATCATTCCCCACCACAGGCCTTCCTAGAGCTTGGGAAGACTCCCTGGCAGGACCTGTGCTCCCTCCCTGTCATCCTGCAGATTCTTCTTGTTTTGAGCATGGACTGGAATCTCTTCAGAGAACAAAGAAATCATAGGAAGAGGCAGGTTTATGCTGCCCCTCTTCGTGCCTGAATACACCCCTGCCCTACACAGGGCTGCTCTTGAAGCATCATTTATTTTAGTGACTTGTTTGACCATTAAATAGTGAAATGGGAGCTCCATTTGTGTGTGAAAATCAGTGTTTCACAGTGCAGCCCTTTGCCATCCTGGTTTGATGGGCACTACAATTCTTGTATAATATTTATTGTGACTCCTTGAGCTTGTTGAGTTCCACGTTTCAAATGTCTCCTCGGCGGCGATGGCAGATTAAAAGGCAGAACCTGGCTGCAATAAAACCACGGAGGCAGCACAAAAAAGAGGAGCTGGCACAAATTGTATCTGCCTGAGACAAGCAATTGGCACGTCTGTCTGGTGTAGGATGGATATCCAGGATGATGTTCAGTGTTTCATGCCCTGGTGTTATCCATGAAGGTTATACCTGCTTTGCCAGTTGACTCCAAACCTGGCCTCTGTCTGCATTGATTATTCACAAACATACCCTCAACACATGCCTAGGCCAAGCTCCAGCAGCCTGAAGAGGGAAATCAAGGCTTAGTAAAGCTCCTCAGTGTAGATGCAGCTCCCCCTCGAGTGGCCCAGATGGCCTGGGGAAGCCAGCACACCACAGCACAGTCCTCCTGTGCCTCTCCCAGCATGGGCTCATCCCCAGTCAGAGCATCACAGAATGGTTTGGGTTGGAAGGGATCTCAAAGATCAGCCAGTGCCAACCTCCCTGCCATGGGCAGGGACACCTTCCACTACACCAGGTTAATCCAAGAACCATCCAAACTGAAATAATTTGCTTTTTTTCTGCAGCACGGGGAGGACAGCCCAGCTAGAGACCTCCCATCCTTCCTCATCTCCTCTGTCTCATCTCTGCTCTTCCCTGATCAAGCTGCTGCTGGAAATTAAAGTGGATCCTGACACCTCAGTGATTGCACTTTATAGCTGATTATATTCTCTGTCATCACATTTTACATCTCCTGTCAGGGCAGTCCAAACGGACTGTGTTAAAATGATTCCTTACTCAACAGGGACCCAGCCCAGTCAGCCCTAGAGTCAGGCTTTAAGCCATACAGTCCTATTAGGCGATTCCTTCCCCTTCATCCCCAGGGAAATGCCCCATCTGGCCATTAGAATTGATGAGAGTTCCTGTAATAATCTCACCGGGCTCAGATCAGCCCTTTAAATCTACTCATTAGCATCTTGAGTTAGATCTGCTACGTTATCGAGTTAAATACATTTTTACATCCCTTAATTTCTGCCAGCTCTGCCGAGCTGGTTTACAGACCAGGGGAGAGCTCGGCTTTCATTCCAGCTGCTTGATCTTCAACAGCTTCTTAATTACATCCTCATCAGACACTACTGACAGTCGGTGACGCATGAGCCAGCATTAACTCAGGCAGACTCGCTGAATTTGAGGAGGCTGTCCCATGCTGGTATTTTTTGTCCCTTTCTGTTAATCAAAGGAAAAGGTTGTGGGGCACTTTTGAGGACCACAGAGCAGCTCTCTGTGGATGCTCTCTGTGCAAAGCCGTTTTTCAGGGCAGAATCGCTTGGCTGTGTCAGAAAGAATTTGGTCCAGCACGAGGACTGGGGGGAGGTGTTCGTGCCCATTACAGGGGGCTGGAACTGGGAAAGATGTCCCTGCCCGTGGCAGGGAGTTGGAACGAGATGATCTTTAAGATCCCTTCCAATCCAAACTGTCCTGTGATTCCATGACTCAGGAAGCTCCTCGAGAGCAGCACTCTCTCCCCAGCTGCTTGTTTGTGTTTCTTGTTTACTTTAAGTTGTTAAAAGTTTATAATGAAATTCACCGTTCAATGTGAGTTGTTTTTTTAGGGAAAACTATCAGAAAAATCACTCTTTGGGGGCTCTTGTTAAATACAAGAGGGAAACACCTACTTTAGAGCAAAACTTGGATGGGTTTTAAAACCAAAACGTTGCCTTCAAGCTCAAAAACACTTGAAGTTCTCCCAGCACCTTACTCGGAGCGAGATTCCTTCCGTCCCCGGCGCTCAACCAGCGGTCGGGACCGGCCCCTCTCCCCACCCGCCGGGGGTCCCACTGCGGGGAGCATCCCCTCTCCCGGAGTCCCACTGCCGAGATCATCCCCCCTCCCCACCCACCGAGGGTCTCACTGCCAGGATTATCACCTTTCCCCCACTCCCGGCGGTCCCACAGGGGTCCCATTGCCGGGACCACTCCCCACCCTCCGGGAGTGCCCCGATCGGGATCATCCCCTCTCCTCACCCGCCGGGATCATCGCACTGCAGGAATCATCCCTTCTCCCCATTCCCCGGGAGTCCCACTGCCGGCATCATCCCCTCTCCCGGA